CATGCTGAAGAGGTAGAGGAACAGGCCCACCAGGCCAAGGGGGTGAGGTCACCATTCAGAAGAACTACGGGACTTGAGCCACCCAGTGGAGGAGATCTGTACAGGTGCCAACTTGACAAAGGGTGGAATTGTGGTAGTTAAGGTTGTTGTCAACTTGGCTGGGCTTGATTGAGTGGCTGGCAGCTGGAAGTGGTTATTCCCCATGATGAGACTGGCAATCAGTTCCATGGTGGAAACTGCCACAAGCAGCTGAGTAGCTGCTTTAGGGGTGTGATCTGCTTCCTGTTTATAAGGAGAAGCTTTGGGATTGATCTCTAGCCTTTTGGCATGTTTAAGCCCTGCATGTAACCAAGTAGTTGTTCAACATGCCATGCCCTGCTGATCTTGGGACTTCATCTGGACTTGAATTAGTGGCCTGCCATATTGGTTGGTAACATTGGGACTGTGCCTTTTTACTTGTCAACCTTGGGCTTGTCAGCCTCAGCAGCCAGCAGCTGTGTGAGTGAAGAAACGCCTCCAGCCTCAGTGGGCCGGGAGCAGGAGGCAGATCTAGAGCCTAAGGTTGAGGGGCTTTCCCCCAACCTCTTAAGATTCAACTTCCCTAAGCAAAACCTCAGCAGACTTTTTTTTTTTTTTAATAGAAATGACAAGCTGATTTTAAAGTGTATATGTAAAAGCAAGAGGCCTACCAATACCCAAATAAATCTTGAGAGACGAGGACAAAGCAGGAAACCTCTTACTATCTGACTTCCAGGCTTATTACAGAGCTACAGTAACAATAACATTGTCATATTAGTACAAGGATAGACAATTAGATCAGTGCACAGAATAAAGAGTCCACACCCACATGGTCAGCACTCACAGAGGGCACCAACTCAGTTAATAGAGAAGGAAAACTTTCAATAATGACACTAGAAGGAGATATGTATAGGAAAAATGTCATCATAACCTTTCCTTCACACCATATACACAAATTTATTTGAGATGGAACATAAAAATCTAAATATAAAGCTAAAAATATTAAGCTTCTGAAAGGAAATATAAAGGACTATCATCAGAATCTAGAATAGGCAGAATTTGCATAGGCTGCGGATGGGAATATGAAATATTACAGCCACTTTGGGGGAAAAAAAAGTTTGGAAGTTTTTATAAAGCTGTTGTTATGTGCCGTCGAGTCAGACCCGACTCATACCGACCTCTCCTTGGGTTTCCGAGGCAGTATCACTACAGAAGTAGGTTGCCCAACCTTCCTCCCAAGGAGTGGCTGGTGGGTTTGAACCTCCAGCCTTCTGGTTAGCAGTCAAGTGCCTTAGGCACTATGCTACCAGAGTTCCCTTTATAAAGATAAACAGATCTAAATGTTCCCCTCTGATCTGCTTTCTTTTCACCCCATTAGTGAAGGATGAATTTCTGCCCTAGGGTTATGAGGATGGCCAAACACATGACACCTGACACTGGACAGATGAGATGGACAGCATTTTATTAGTCACATACACTCCCAACCCTGGAGAGAACAATACACACCACACAGGGCCACCCAGGGACTGCACTCAGGGACAGTAAACAACCAGGGACTCGGGGAGGAGGGAGGCTTTGTAGTAACAAAAGGGTAGGGCGACCCCTGGTTCCCATAAGAAGTTGTTACTGTCCTGTTTGAATAATTCCACTGGCTGGCTGAGATGTGAAATCAGTTGGATTGAGAACTGGGTGGAGTGCAGCTGGTCCAGCTGAGAAGGGAGCTCTCCAGGTGGGAACCCTTTCCCACTGAGTGGAGAGCATATCAGGCAAGAACAGGTTAGGCCTTTGGAACCCTGTAAGGCCCAAAGATTTCAAAGGCACGTTAATATTGCATCTTAATTTCAGGTCTTATACCACACCCTCCTGGGTAGTTATCTAAAAGAAATGAAAACTTATATCTACAAAAAGTTGTAACAAACCTTTATGGCAACTTTATTTACAGTGGCCAAAAACTGGAGACAGCCAAATATCCTTCAGCATGTGAATGAATAGTGGTATATCCATACAGTGGAATACAACCCAGCGATAAAAGGATAAGCTACTGTTATGGAGAACAACATGGATTAATCTCAGAAATATTATGATGCATGAAAGAAGGCAAACACAGAAGAAAATATACTGAATGACTCCATTTATTTGAAGTTCTAGTCTAGGCAAAACTAAGTTAGGTGGGATAAAAATCAGAACTTTGAATCTGCCTCTGTGGGAACACAAAGAAAGAGGATTGACTGGGAAGAGACATAAAGCAAAAAACTTTCTGAGAAAAATAGCAATGTTTTATACTGTGATCAGATTATAGGTTACCCATATTCCTATCCATTTGTCACATTTGTTTAAGTTAGATTTGTGCATTTCAATGTATGTAAATTTTTCCTTACAAGGAAAGAATTATAAATAATAATAGGAGAAGGAATGGTTAAAGTATGTGTAAATGAAGAATGGTAAAATATTGATAATTGTTGAAGCCGAGTAATACTTATATGGTGTTTTTTTTTTTTTTTAAAGAATTCTATTTAATTAGGTTATTTTTGAAATTTTCCATAATAGAAAATAAAGTGAGGAGGATTAAGCAAAAGGATAAACGTTAGAATTGTAAAATGGTACAACTGCTGTGGAAAACAGTATGGCAATTCCTTAAAAAGTTAGAGATAGAGATACCATTTGATCCAGCAGTCCCGCTACTAGATATATATCCTAGAATTAAGAACTATGACAGGAATATATATATGCACACCCATGTTCATCGCAGCATTATTCACAATAGCAAAAAAATGGAAACAACCTAAGTGTCCATCAGTGGATGAATGGATAAACTGTCATTAAAACACAGTGAAATACTCTGCAGTGTTAAAGAATAACAGTGAACCTGCAAAATACCTCATAACATGAATGAACCTAGAGGACATTATCCTGAGTGAAAGAAGTCTATCACAGAAGGACAAATACTGTATGACACCATGATTGTAAAAAGTCAAGAAAAGGTTTATGCACAGAAAGAAACATTCTTTGATGGTTATCTGGGATGGAAGGGGGAGGGAAGGAAAATCACTAACTACTTACATTAACTTGGATGAACAGGAAAGCAATACACAGTAAAGGGGAGGTGAGCACAGCATGACCAAAGCTCAAAGGACAGCACTGGGAGATCCACAAGAGTAAAAGGCAACAATGATAGATCCTGTTACATACACTGTCCTGCAATAACAGTAATAATTTACTAGTGGATATATAGGAAGATATGGAAGCTGAAGAGGTGTGAGATGGCGTATGGGAGTACACCCACAAGCATGTATAGGTCTGGCAGAGGATATTTCTACATAGATAGATGTATGTGCTACAAGTACATCCACGTATAGAGTAGAGCATACAGGGGACAAAGTTATGAAAACTTCTTAGCCATAACCAAACACCTTCGGGGACTGAGTCACTGGGCTTGAGGGCTTAGGACCATAGTCTTGGGACAGCTAGGTCATTGGGAATAACATAATCCACAAAGACAGTGTTCTACATCCTACTTTGGTGAGTAGCATCAGGGGTCTAAGACACAACTATTTGTCTCTTCCTGTCCATAGCAAAGTGTGAAGACAGTCAAAGACTCATGGAAACAAGTAGTCCAGAAGACTAATGGACCACACAAACCACAGCCTTCCCTAGCCTCAGACAAGAAGAACTAGATGGTGCCCAGCTACCACTACTGACTGCTCTGGGTAGGATCACAGAACACAGTAGAAGGTCCTAGACAGAGTTGAAGAGAAATGTAGAACAAAATTCAAAATGTTATTTAAAAAGACCAGACTTACTGGTCTTAGAGAGACTGGTGGAACCCCTGAGACTGTGGCCCTTAGACACTTCTCAAATCTGCATGCTCCTGAGAACAGTCAACCATATGAGACCAGAAAGGCTGAATTTTCCCAGAGTTCCAAATGCAAGAAGGGCCAGGAAAGAAGGACAAATAGAAATGAGAACCCAGGGAGGAGGCTGGAAGAGTGCTGCTATATTGAGGGATTGCAACTAATGTCACAAAACAATGTGTATCAGTTTTTGAATGGGAGAATAATTTGCTCTGTAAACTTTCACCCAAACTACAATGAAATGTTCAAACAACAAACAAAACAAAAGTTAGGGTGTTGAACTTGATGTTATACCATTTCATTTTAACTTAAAAAATAAAACATACAAGAAATATAAAGCTTTTTTAACTTTTTCCCTTAAATCAGTATCTAGGGGTTAGAAAAAGTTGGAAAAATTTGACTGAGGATTTAGAACTAGATGTAAACCATTTGCCTAGAACAAGTAGCTAAATTATTACCAAAAAACAGCCTTAGGAAAAGCAGTGAGGATTTTTCTCCTATTTGATTTGAATCCATTAAGTTTGGGTTTCATCTACATTTGATTTTCTTTTTAATTCCATTTTTTTTTATTTGCTTTCCATCTGAGGATCAGTACAAATGACCCTGAAAGGTAGGTAGGTTTTTAATTTACTCAATTTCAAAGTAGTAGTGTTAATTTTACAATTAAGAGAAATGACCTTTTTTAAATGCTTAGAAATGAGGCAAGGAAACATGGCATAAATAACTTTTTTAGACTGTACACTTGAAAATATGGCCATAAACTACCAATGATAAAATTATCAGCAGAAAAAAATGAATTATGAAATAGTCTCTTGAAAGAAGGATCAGGGTAATCCTAAAGTTTTTATATAGTTTGATATATTTAGAACATACATATATTAAGTTAGCTTGCTTAGGAGAAAAAATGAGCCAAATTATAATAATGTTAATACTTTTATATATTTTTTTCTCTTTTAATTCTTACAGAATAAGAAAATAATTTAAAATATTAAGAATTATGCAGATGGAATTTAAATTAAAGTTTAACAAATTCTATTATATATTTCATAATAAACATTTGAGATCTGTTTTTAGGTTGTTTTGAAAAATCCACTAGATACATGTGTAAACTTACAATTTCCATCTTTTCAGCTGCAGAAGATCATAAGTAAACAAGATGATTTGAAGACAACTATAACTAGTGAAACAGAATGCCAGGTATGTGCAAATAAATAAATATCTCCAAATGTGTTATTTACAATAGCTGCTCTGTTCTCTTTTAATTTTCCCAAGATGCCCATATAAGTATTCCTAGTTATCTGATAAGGTTTATTAATAGTTTAATTTTTTTCAATGTTTTAAATAGATGAACTGCAGTCACATGGTTCAAACTTCAAAAGATGCACAAGGGTATGTAGAGGGAGCAGAGTTTTCCTCCCTGAGCAATTAGCACATCAGTTTCCTGTGTGTTTCTCCAGAGCATTTACATCCATGTAAAAGCAGGTGTGGTAGCTAAGGGTGTGTGTCAGCTTGACTGGGCTGTGAGTTTGAGAGGCTTAGCAGCTGAGTGTAGTTATTCCCCATGGTGAGATTGGATGTGGTGTAGCACCTATGAAGAGCAGCTATTCCACCATGGGGTGGAATCTGCTGTAAGCAGCTAATTAGTTGAAGGGGAGTTTCCTCCTAGGTGTGGCCTGCTTCCAATATTTTTGGAAGAGCTTTGCGAAAGGTCTCTGGCTTTTTGCTCCTTTTGGGATCCTGCATTTGGTCCATTATCATCTCCAGTTCCTGGACTTGAGCCAGTGACCTGCAGGGTTGCCTACCAGTTGTGGGACTGTTGCCTTTGCAGCCTGTGAGCCAACAATCTGCCATTTGTCCTGCCCATCTGTGATTAGTCAGCTTCAGCAGCCAGCCACTGCATGAGTCAGAAGCCTCCAGCTTGCTCCAATGGGCCTAGCAGGCAGACCTGAAGTCCAAGATTGAGGGCCCTCCACCAAGCCCCTAGAGCCAGCACTCTGAACTCAGACACCTGGCCTCCCAAACTATAAGAGAATAGATTTCTGTTTCTTAAAAGCCATCCACATTCTCTTATAGCAGCACTAGAGAACTAAGACGTCAGGGGACCTAGAACACCCAAATAAATCTTGAAAAACAAGGACAAAGCTGGAGACCTCACACTACTTTATGTCAAAACTTACTATATGCTACAGTAATGATAACACTGTGGTATTGGCATAAGGATAGAAAAGTAGATAGATGATCCAGAATAAAGACTACACACTCACATGGTCAACTGATTTGTAATAAAGGCACTGTCTTAGGCTAGGTTTTTCAGAGAAGCAAAACCAGAAAACTTACAGAGAGAAATAAAAAATTTATCTCAGGGAAATGGCTGGCAAGCCCCAACTTTGTGGGTCAGACATCAAACTGGATGGAGACTTTTCTTGACTCACAGCTGCAGGAGCTGACGAACCCAAGATCAGCAGGTAAAATGGCAGATTGTTGGCTCATAGACAATGAAAGCAACAATTCCAAGATCAGAGACTTTCCAGCAGACCACTGGTTCAGCTGCAAAACCCAGTTGATAAGCTAGATGCAGGATCCAGATCCAACAGAAAGTCTGAGAATTTTCCCAGGATGTCCATATATATATATATTGGAAGCAGGCTACACTCCTGAGGAAACTCCTTTCAACTGATTGGCTGCTCACAGCACATCCCACCATGGAGGTGACTGCCTTACATCAGATCTCATTATGGGAACGACCACACCACAGCTGCTTAAACCACTCAGAATCATGGTCCAGCCAAGTTGACATACAATTTAACTATCTCAGGCACCAGATCGGTTAATGGAGAAAGAAAAGTCTTTTGATAACATATATTATGTTAAACATATATATAAATAAGTAAATAAGTACATATTTTTTTTCCTTTTTATACAAACAGTAGCATATTATGTACATTGTTCACATTTTCCTTTTTTCATATCGTATATCTGAGTATCTCCTTTCTTTTTAATGGCTGCATAGTACTTTGTTGTATAGCTGTACCAATTTTTGTAACCATTCCCCTTTTGAAAGACATTTTTGCTATTACAAATAATGCTGCAGTTGAATAACCCTGTGATTATGTAATTTCACACATGTATATGAATATCTCTGAAGATAATTTCCCAAAAACTGAATTACTGGGTCAAAGGGCATGAACATTTTTTAAGTTATTGGTAAACTTTTGATAAATATTAATAATTAACTTCCAAAGATACTGATTTTCATTCTTACCAATAATATATGTAAGTAAATTTCTACTTCATATTCTTTCAATCAGTTCTAATTGCATAATATGCTTTCCAGTAGCTTTACATTAATTTCTAAATCATTCTAAGAGTTTCTGCTTTATATTTTGCAAATTTGAGAGAAAGCCATGCTTATTTGGTGCAGGTGGGATTGTAAGTTATTATCACCTTTCCTGATAATGCATTTAAAATCCACATGTATATTTATAGCAACTATTTTATAAGTATAAAACAAATTTAATTGTGATTAAAATCAGTTTGTTTGTTTTATTTTCTCTGAGCAACTCTGTGCTGGACTTGTTTCTCTCAACATCCACACCCTTGAATGGTATTTCCTTTTCCTAGATATTCTGTGTGTTCTGTAGTACCCTGTGTGTCATCCATCATGACATGTTAGTTTAACTTTTTATTTGTATGTGTCCTTGTGTGGAATATAAGTATCACACCTCTCTTTAAGTCCATAAGACTACCCTCACTTCTGACACCAACTGCAAAATTCAGAGATCCCCAATGCTTAACATATTTATGACACCACTGAAAGTTTCAAGGTCACCACGATCACCCTCAGGTGCAAAAATTCATTGGAATGACTCACAGAACTCACTGAGAGCTGTTATACTCAGGACTTACTACAGTGAAAAGATATAGATTAAAACCAACCAAGGGACAAGGCACCTGGGACACAGTCCAGGAGAACTCAGGCACAGGGTTTCCAGTTGTTCTCAGCTAGTAGAATCTCAGACAGCACACTGACTTTCCTGGTAACAGTGTCTGACAAAGCATGGAGTGGTGACAACTAGGGAAGCTCACTGGGCCCCTGGTGTCCAGTGTATTTACTGAGGCTTGGTCTTTCAGCTAACTTCAGTCTCCAGCCCCTCTGGGTCCAGCTGATACCACATGACCCCAAAACCTCAACCCTCAGTTGCACTGCTAGACTATCTGATATGGCTCAAGGCACCCAAATAAACAAAGACCCTCTTCCTTAGAGGTCACCTCACAGCAGCCAGAGCAAAAGCCAGACCTCTCTTTCAAACTACCTGCAGCTGTCTAGTCAGTTCCAACACATAGCTACCCTGTAGGACAGAGCAGAGCTGCCCCACAAGGTTTCTAAGGCTATAAATTTATACAGAAGCAGATGGCCTCATCTTTCTCCCATGGACTGGCTAGTGGATTCAAATTGTGGGCCTTCTGGTTAGCAGCTGAGTGCTTTAACTACTGCACCACAAGAGCTCTTTGACCTCTCTTTAGGTAAGTTAATTCTTGACTGCACAGGTTGTATCCACATAGCCTGGTAAAGTACCAGGCATACATTACATGCTCAGTAAATGTTTATTTGAATATTGAATGAATTATGTCTGTGACATAATATATTTAACCACTGGCCTATTATTAGGAGCTCTGGTAGCATAGTGCCTAAGGCACTTGACTGCTCACCAGAAGGCTGGCTGGCCTATTATTAGTCATTAAGATTGTTTACAAATATTTGCTGTTAAAAGTCATGCTGCAATAAATACGTAAATACTTAAATTTAGGATCGATTTCTAGATGTGAGATCATTGGGTCAGGAGCATTTTTAAGATTTTTAATAGCTTGCCAAATTGCTTTCTGGAAAGGTTATAACAATGACGATCTTACCAGCACTGAATAAGCATGCCTGTCCTTCAGCAATCTCCCATGCATTGGTCATCTTTGTTTTTGTTCTTGTTTATCTGTGCCAATTTGACAGGGAAAAAAGGTATCTCAGATACTATTTTCAAAGGTAATTAGATAACCCATCTCTATTTCTTATTCTATAAATTTGGGAAAAGGGAGTTACATTTGCTTTTAAGAGTATTTTATATTTACAAATATTAACCTAGTGACTCAAAGCTATTAAAATATTTTTCAGAATTTTTTGCTTATGAGGTTTAGTTTGCAGATGTTTTTTCAATGTCCTATTTAAATTTTAATTTTATTTATTAAGCTGCCTTCATTTATAGTCACTAGAATACTAACCTATATTACACTTTAGCTGTGGTTTCATTTTCTTAATATTTAATTTTTTTCATTCATCTGAAATGTATTTCTTCAGGGCATCCCTGAGACTTTACATTTTTACTATTATAAGTGGGATTTTTTTTTTTTTTTTAATTTTTTCCTCCTATCACGGAATTATTTCAGCTAAACAGGACATCTGTTTGATTTTACTGTTTTTGTGCCAATCTATCTTACTGAATTCTCTTACTATTTTTGATGTTTTCTGTTGATTTTCTTGGTTGTTCTATGTATAAAACCATATTATATCTAAATATTACTCTTATTTATTCTTTTATATATTCGACAAAGCTACTGGAAAAAAAATTAAATCATATTGTTAATGGTGGGCATATGGTAATGTTCTAATGTTAATGGGAGAGAATCCAGTTGTCCTGTTTGAGGTGTTAGTGTATCTGTTGGGAATTGAGAGCAAAAACACATCAGGCATGACTAGCCTGCTCCCATTTCTGTGGAGGTCTTAATAAGGTATTTAAAATCCACATTTATAGCAACTACTTTAAAAAAATGTGTTAGGTTACAAGGTAATATCTATAAGAATCAATAATAGAGAACATATTACATCATTTAGCTCCATTAAAACCATCTTTGCCTCCCTATAAACTAAAATCAAAAAAGTGATCTGAAGTGTTGGTGAAGCCACCTACAGCCAGCACATCTAGTAACAATAAGTGCCTTGGCCAAGGTGCATTATATATTGGATATATGATAAATATACAAAACTCACTTGCATTTCTGAATACCAGCAGTGAACACATATCACTTTATAATTACTCAAAAAGTAATTATGTCTTTTCAACAAACGGTACTGGGACAGCTGGATTTCCACATGGAAAAGAGTAAACTTGAACTCCTACCTCACACCATACACAAAAAATTAACTCAAA